AACTTGCTCTAATTTACAGTGGAGGGAAACTCAAAATATGGGAAAATTGCAAAATGTAATTAATTCCAAGTACATAGTTTCCACTATATAATGGTTTAGCTTGATTGTAGCTTCACAAATGGTCAGTAGAGATGTAATTATTACAATAATTTCCACTATATAGTGGTTTAACTTGATTGTAGCTTCACAAATGGATAGTAGAGATGTAATTATTACAATAATTTCAGTAATGCATTTTTCAGATAAAAACTGTTTAATATTTTTATCTCATAACTTAAGTTAAAATTGTTGATCCTAGTATTTTTATCTGCCAATCTTATTCTACAAAGTCACATTTTATCTCTGTACACAAGGCTCTCTTCTGGAGATTATTTCCAGAATAACAGTAAGAATAATTCTTTAAAAGCCTTATCTCCAAAAGATATCTGAATTCAAATCTAAAAATTTAAAATAATCAGATTCAACTAGTAAAGTATTTATATTATACAAATCATTTTAATACTGTGGAGGACAATGTTACTAAGTATAATTATCAAGTTAATAAGAAGAAAAGATTTAATTAGCCACATTAATTTGAAAACTATGTTACATTGTTATCAAATGTATATATCTACTTTTTATGATATACTTCTACTGGAAACATTTTATAAATTAACAACAGACCCCTTTTCATTTGTAAATAAGTATAGGAACACAAAATCTTTTTGTGCAATGTTTTGATAGTGATGTGGAGAAATTGGAACCATCACATCTCCCCCAAAGTGATGTAAAATAATAGCACAAATGCTTTACAAAGTTTCATATTTTTCTTTAAAAAATTACTCCTAGAGTAATATTTATATTATCAGCAGTTTCATTTTTAGATATATACCCAGGTTATTCAAACACAGGTGTATATATGAGAATTTGTACGTGAATGCTTGTGGTAACTTTCTTAGCATGAGTCAAAACTTAGAAAGAGCTCAAAGTCCACCAACTGACAAATGGATAAGCAAAGTAATATATATTAACTGTGTATATTAATGGATAACATAGCTATATGTATAAATATCCTACAACTATGGAAAATAATAAACTATTGATTTAAGTTAAAATTTGGATGAATCTTGAATTCAGGTTGAGTAAAAGAAGCCAGATGCAAATGGCCACATAGTGAATGATTTATATGATTAATTGTATACAATATATGTAGAATAGACAAATCCACATGAATCAGAATCAGATTAGAACAGTGGGAGGGAGCAAAGATGGCGGATAGATAACGGCTGGCTACCCTGAGAACACTGACCCAGGACAGGTAAATACAAAGGAGAATGAGGAGAGCAAGCATGCCATATCAAACACGGCACCAGTGGACATAAAGAGATAACTTTGGGACCTCATAGACAAGCTCAAAAGTGAAATATTTAGCCAAGTAAAGCAAGATATAAGAACATTAACAAAATAAATGCTAAGCACCCCTCAAGCAGACACAGACAGAAGAAGGGAGGAACTCAAACAAAGGAGAGAACATTTGATGAGGAATATAAAGAAAATATAGAATACATGAAGCAGATTCAAAGAGATTACCAGGAAATAAAAAAAACTCTATGGAAAGATGGCAAATCTGCTTGAAAAAATCTATGGATAGATTATCCAAACTGGAGGACAGTTTTTCAATATGGGATTATGAAAGGAAAAACTTTTTTTAAAAAATAACAAGGAAACAAGCAGTAACAATACAAAAGCTAGAAGACTACAAGAGGATCTATAACTTGAGAACAAAGAATGTGAATGAAGAATTAGGGATACAAACAAAGGAACTACAAAGACTATTCACAGAAATAATTAAGGAAAACTTCCCAAACATAGGGAAAGGAAATGATATGCAGATATATGAGGCATACAGAACCCCAGTCACCTACAACCAAAACAGAGCTACACCCAGGCATATAATAATCAAGATCCCAGAAATTCAATATAAGAACAGAATATTAAAAGGTATTAGAGACAAGAAACAGATAACCTATAAAGGAAGGCCCATCAGAATAATGGCAGACTTCTCGACCCAAACCATCAAGTCAAGAAGAGCCTGGAGCGAAATATTCCAAGCCCTGAAAGCAAATAGCCTCCATACCAGATTGGTATACCCTGGTAAACTGTCTCTAGAAATTAATGGGAAAAAAAGATGCTTCCAAGACAAAAAGGAATTTGGGAAATTCGCAACCACCAATCCAACTCTACAGAGAATACAGCAGGGCATTCTAGAGAGAGAGAAAAGTACTAGTATTCCAGAAACAGTGGCAGAAAGACCTCAATGAATGGAGCAGAAAACCGAATGAAGAAAATAAGCAGACAACTGATGGCAAAAGAGAGTATAATAGAAATGAGGCAGAGAAAGTAGGTTAAAATCTCTAACATAGAAGACCTTGATATACTAAATTAAATTTTTTAAAAAAAATCACACGTGGAGTAGATCAGGAGGCAGGGTCTACCGAGATGCTATTTATAAGAAATACAATTAACATGAAAAAGAGTACATGGACTGAAAATCAAATATGAGAAAACAATGCTCTATATGACAGAGAACCAGAGAGTAATAGGGGCAACCAGACCAGTATTTGTGGTTAGGTTAAAAGACAGGCTTTAATAGGTAAAGGAATACAATTAGAGATCAAGTCCAGGAGAGAGAAGGTTTGGAACCATGTAGTTTAATAGCAGGTTGCTCCCTCCCCCAATTTAAAACCAAGGGACTTGATCAGACCCAAAAATGCACAGTGTACCCCGGGGAAGTGAAAGGGGAGGGAGAGTCTTTAAAAAGATGGCAGAAGATATTAATAATGTATCAGGATTTAAAACCCCAATTACTCCCACCACTCTGTTAGATAGATTTTATTCTTTTTTTTTTTTGATAGATTTTATTCTGTCCTAGTTTGTCTACTTGCATTAGATTTGAGGGCACAGACAGCTATCCCCAAAACATCAGGATATAGCACAATAATCGTTTTTAATTTCCTATAATCTTAATCTGGAGCCCTGTATGATTTATACTGTTTTATCATGACTGATCTTAGTTAAATCTGGTTTGTTTGATTGCTGTTTGCTATCAACGGGTTTTATTCAAAACTGATATAACTGATAGCATCAACTATGAGAGTATAGGCAACTACACTGAAGATGACAATACTCTACAATACACTTTCTGGTTTGATAACTGACTGCTTTTGAAGTTTTATACTATATACAAAGTTGTGTTTTTATTAATATTGTAATGTACTGATACATTAAATTATACTAAGCCTGATAATATAGCCATTTCTACTGAAGATAACAAGAGACAACAGAGGAACTATGATAGAACTTCTTGTACAACAACCTTATATGTCTTTTTCATTTCACGTGTTTATAAGAATATGCTTTGTTTTGTCTTGTTTTGTTTCTCCCTCTAATATACAAAGGATAGAAATACATGTTAAGACTCATGCATGTGTAGAATCTATAAACAGTTTATGAGAACTGATCTTACGACACATGATAAAATGAACAGATACTCTGAGGAAAAAAAGACACTAAAATACCCAGTGCTGATCCTGGGATGTCATAATGTGAAACCCAGCAATAGTATTATTCTTTTTTCAGAGTGATATTAGCCAGCTTGGGTTTCTTCAATTTCAACGTAATTGAAGATATGGATAACTGCATGTATGTTTAAGTGTATAGGGTTGATAACCATATTTCTAAGTTTTTGTTGGATAATTGAACAGAACTCTTACTATTTGAATCCCCACTTTATATGCTCCACTTTAGATCTTAAATAACTACTTGTAAGAGGACAGTCTGTAATCCTCACCTAATGATTTCTTACTGTTTATTTTTTCTTTGAAAGTATGTATTATTACTAACCATTTTCTGTTTTGTTTAGTCTTTCTTTAAATAAAATTTTTTTAAAAAGACACTACAGTACCCAGTGCTGATCCTGGAATATCTTAATGTGAAATCCAGCAATACTAGTATTCTTTGTTCAAAATGATCTTAGCCTGTTTTAGTTTGTTTAATTTTAACATAAATGAAGATACGGATAGCTACGTGTGTGTTTAAGTGTGTAGGATTGACAACCATATTACTAAGTTTTTGTTGGATAGTTGAACAGAACTGTTTGAAGTCTTGCTGTTTGAATTCCCACTTTATATGTTCCACTTTTATATCTTGAACAACTATTTGTAAAAGGACAGTATGTAAACATCAACTAGTGACTTCTTACTGTTTATTTTTTTCTCTGAAAACATTTATTATTTCTACCCATTTTTTGTTTTGTTTAGTCTTTCTTTAAATAAATTTTTATTTAAATTTGAAAAAAAAAAAGCAGATTAGCAGTTGCCAGGTGCTGTGGGGAAGGGAGAATGTGGAGCAGCTATTAATGATATGAGAGTTCTTTTTGAAGTTATGAAATGTTAAAAAAAAACAAGAAGGTGGCAATAGTTAGATAACAACTTTAGTAATTTGGAAAGCATTGATTATGCATTTTAGAAATGTGAGTATTGTTTGTGAATTACATCACCCTGAAAAGATACAGCTGGAGGACAGGATGTAAAATTACTATTGACATAACTCTTCTGTCTCCTTAAGAATCAGAATAGTCATTTAACTGGGTTGTGCTGGCTACTACAAAATCTTCTTTGATTCATGACACATTTAGAGCAAAAACAATTCATTGCTTTGTTCTAATATTGTTATGATAGATTTTTGCCTTTCTGTTCAAAGAAAAAAAAAGTGTATGCTATGTTAGAAAATTCTTTTATTTCAGTGAAGTAGGCCTTAACTTTTCTGTTTGTGCTTCTAATTTTAGGTTGTCTCAAACTGAATTTTAAGATATGTCCTATTCTTTAATAAAGTTTACATTTTTAAAATACTGAACTAAATAAGAAATATATAATTTTTAAGATACAACATTGCTCTGTATTACTAGATAACTCTTGTAGCATAAAAATACAATAATGTGATATGCCCTTATTTTTATTTTTTTTAATATGGAATGCTTAACGAATTTGCATGTCACCCTTATGCAAGGGCCATGCTAATCTTCTCTGCACTGTTCCAATTTATTTTTTTTAGTATATGTGCTGCTGAAGCAAGCACTGTCCTTATTTTTCTACAAAATCTATTTTAGAGTATTAACCAAAATATGCCACTAGCCAATGTGAAATGAAATATAAATTATTAAAGATTAAATTTTACTTCTTTCTGTTATAATAGACTAAAATTGAACTGAATTTTTTTTTGGTCTTTTTCCTTTTTACCAGTACCAGGGATCGAACCCATGACTGCCTGCTTGCAAGGCAGGCGCTTATGCCGCTGAGCTAAATCCCCAGCCCCCAATTGAACTGAATTTTAAATTAATATAATTTAAAATCATGCATACATGTATTGCAGTGATACAAATCTTGAAAATACACACAAAACATTTGCAAATATATTTAATATACATTTATAAAACAGCTCTGTGGTTACATATAATTTGTCTATCGCATTCCACATATATTTCTTTCACAGAAAAGGAATTTTCCTGTAGATATTAAGAAATAAGGGATTAATATTTAATTTCTTTCATTGTAATTTTCCTAAATCTATTATTGAGTTTTGCTTTTATGACTACTTCTGAGTTGCAAAACGTTCAAAAGCACAAGGGCTTAACTCACAAAACACACAAATACATTCATTTTAGACGGGAGCTATGGAATGGTATTACCCTTTACTTGTCATTATAATCACAATCTATACAAACAAAAAATGAAAGGAATCCTACAAAGATAGCCTATCCACAATGTTAAATCAAGTCTTCTGGAAGAAATATCTAATTCAAAATGTGACAATAATTATGCAAAACTGAGTCTGGAGCATCTTTTATTGTTCAGAAGTAAGGAAGTACTCAAATAAAACCACAAACACACACACACACACACACACACACACACACACACACACACTTCACAATGCTGGGGACATGGTATAGGTGCATGGAACACTAGCAAGGAACTGTAAGTTTCCTGCAGCCTAACTGAAAATTTTGAGAAAAAAATAGCACTTGCTTATAGTCCAAATCACAAGAAGAAATCCATGAGCCATGCTAATGTAAAAAAATGTCAGAATGTATAATGACTGGAAAGAACAGGCAGATGACTTCCATAAAGAAGAATCCCAAATAGTGTACATAGATGTTCAATTCAAGAAAACAGTGTAATCCCTCATTTTTAAAATTTTCCCCCAGTATCGAGGTCTGAGCACAGTGCCTTCACACTGAATTCCATTCTGAGCCTCTTTCTTTCACCATGATGATGATGATGATGAAGATGATTATTATCAGTATTATTATTACCTTGAAACAGGATGTCTCTAATTTGCTAAGTTGTCCAGATGAGACTCACGCTTGCGAACTTTCTGCCTCAGGCTCCCAAAGTGCTAGGATGATGAACCTGCAGCAGCACTCCAAACTCTTTCCTCCTTTTTTAACTACAGATTTTGTGAAATGTCTCTTTCTAAAACTAATATATCAAAAGGAGAAAGGAACAATAATTTTATTGTAAAGATATCTGATACATTATGGTTAGCATTAACATTAAATAATCATGTTGATAATATGCAAACTCAGTACGAAATGAGACAGGCAACTTGTTTCTATGAACACTCACCAAAAACTCCCTTAACTCCAGTGTAATGAGAACAAGAGGGATCAAAGAAATTTCAGCTGAGAAGTACCAGACTAGTATTCCTCAAAATTCCCTAGATGACCAAAAACAAAGGAAGTCTGCAAAACTGTCACAGCTTAGGAGAAATTAAGGAGGCAGGGCAATCAGAATTGTCCTGGAAAAAATTCTCAAACAAAAAATTTGAGGAGGTGGGAAAATTTCAGGAAATTTGAAAAAAGAAAAATAATGGACTTTAACTACAATGATAAAGGTACTGTATGTTCACAATGATTTGTTGGTTATGACATGTATACCACATTAACAACAAGTGCTAGTAATAAGGAATATTTTGGCAGTAGGCATATGAGAATTCTGTAGTATCATCACAATCATGTTGTATATTTAAAACTAAAACAACGTTCATATTTGAAAACTATAGTCTCTGTAAGGTTTAATGCAGAAGAAGATAAGCCTGAGTTAATTTTTGTTACAGTTGACAGCCTAGTGTAATCTCTGATACCATTTGGATTATGGCTTTGATTTTCATAAACAATTTAGAAAAATAAGTATTCAAACAAGTTATAAAAATTAAAGCTGTGAATGTTAAGGTAATAGAGAATGCAATGAGTTGAAGTTATCATGTTTGTGCAAATATTGTAACCAAAATAGAGATGCTTTGATATAAAAATACATTTTGATACAGTTTTCATATCTACTGTATTATGGATTAATAAATTCAAAAGCATACACATGTACTTGATAGAAAATTTAAGGAATTTTTCAAAAACTTTTTTCTTTGCACTTTTCTCTTGATTCACCAGCTTCAATTTTTTTGCTACCTGCAACCACCCTTACCAGATTTACTTGATGACTCAAATTGCAGCATTTATGCAATTTTCTAGAAATAGGACTTAGGTGCAGAAGATACAGTTTGTTGAAAATGTAGATTGCAGCTGTATCCCACAACTAATTCTGTCTGCATCGATCTCTGTTAGAGCTTTGCTAGAAGATAATCATGCTGTCATCTTGCTGTTCACCTTGAGAAATAAAAATTTATGAAAATTTCATTTGTCTTATTTCATGAAAATGTACTTTTATGTAGTTGCAGTTTCATTTTCCTGGAAATGGAGTACTGTATATTGGTAGGTCAATATTTATACCTTAAATTATAATACCCATATTATAAATGCACATTAAAATAATCCTATTTATTATTTGCCATTTTATTTAACATGGCAAAACAATACAAAAAGAATTAGGAGAACAAGATTATTTTCAAATATGAAAGATGCTCTCAAATATCTTGAAATAAGTATTGGTGGTTCTCAAAGTCTTTTTAAAAGCTGTACATATGTCTTGAGAACCAATCACCATATAAATTAATTCCTGATTTTGAGCCTCAAGCAGAAGTTTCATAATAGAGAATGTATAGACATGAAAGTTTAAAAGGCCTAGAAATTACTTTCATCAATTTTTTCAAGTTTCAGTTACCTCATTTGTAATGTTGAAATCATCATCATCATCATCATTTAAATATAAAATTGTTAAGATTGTAGAAGAATTATGGGAAAAACCAGGATTTCCAGGCATGTTTAGTGTCACTAAACAGACCAGTTTTTGATCCACGTTGTCATAGTATTAGACTTAAGAGGAGTAGCCCTTGTAAGTGAAAAGTGTGCGAATGTTAAATACCATGGAAAAAAGTTTAAACTGATCATTTGTCACTACAATCAGAGAGACACAAAATTGTAAAAAAAGTTTAATGATGTGCACTAAGATGTTGATTTCAGACCAACAATCAGAAACATAGACTGCCAGCCTCTCTACAATAGAACATCCCCCAAATTTTTCTACTAGTCACTCTTAGACTGCCACATTTCTGTTCAGTGTTACTATTTAAATGAATCTGTAAAATGAATTCAGAGGCACAAGAGTTACCTCAATGAATCCATTCTTCGTACACATATATTCTTAAAGTGTCATGTGACAAGTCTGTATTAAATGTTAGAATTGTTGGGGAATGTAAATTATCACTTAAATCCAAGCCTAAATTTTGCCTAAAACAGTAGGAAGCATCCTTTCTTTAGTGCATCTGCAACATAGATAGTTGATCTCTAGACTTCCTGTTTATCATCTTACCATACTTTCATATTAAAAGTAGAATAAAATTCAACTTACAAAGTCAGTGAGATTATTCTTATCTTTCAGAATTCATGTCAATCCCTTTACTCTATTAACTAACTGAACTGGCATCCTTCCTGTGCTTCTGTTTAATCTTTCTGAACTACTACAGATTTTCATAAACCTAAAAGATTTGCATCACATATATGTTGGCTCACATACAGAGGTATGTAAGAGGAAAAATCACGGAATTTATGTCTAACTCTGAATAGAAAGAAGCAGACAGGGAAAAGTAGATAAGTTCAGTGAACACTCCTCCTATAAGTGTAGAGGGTAAAAATGATTATATTAAACCCTGTAGGAGAAAAGACATTTTGGGCCAGGGGACAAACTGAACTATTCATGCTTCTTCCTTGAATAGTCTTTTAATACTCCTAAGCTCATTGCAAGACCCTTTGCCAAAGTATGTCCAACACACAGGATCAACTTAATGAGATAACCTGAGTACAACCGAGCACATGTATCTCTATTCCTTTATCTTCCCATGAGGTGAATTGCTCTGCTGGATCCACCTCAATATACAGAAGTAGCCTATTCCTTTGAGTGGGTTAACTTGCCAACGTTCTACTTACCTATCAATGTAAACCACATATTTCATCTGTAAAACTGATACATTTTGGCACATATCTGGGTTTTTTTTTTTTTTTGCCTTTAAGTATCATTAAACTAGGCATAGAACAAAAATGACGTTTGCCAGACTCTCAAATCTTAAAGAAAGCAATGCTTTTCAGCATTGTAACTGAAGTGAACTACAGTTGGCTATGAGCTACAGTCTAAAATGAAGCCTGGTGTTAGATGTACTTCTCTAGTCGAGGTCTTCTGCTTCCTGATTTGAAGAAAAATGAATAGTGGTCACCAGATGAAGGAATCTTTTCATGTAAAGCAGAAATTCATAGTAATTACAAGGGCTCAAAAATTATTTGATGAAGTACTGGACAAATGTATGAATGGAATTCTCTCTTTCAGGTGGTATGAGAAACACATAGTTCCACACCAGCAGGAGAATAATGCATTTGTTCTCAAAGATACGAGGGACTGTAAAGTATTCATAGTCAAACATAGGAAGTGGAGCTAAGGTGAAGATAAATGACTATATCAGTTTCTTCAGCAGAATAGATTTACAGACAATCGTAGCAGACAAATTTTCCCAGAAATAGAAATAATACATAGTAGGTGGCATGGTAGATTCACACAGCAAGTTAGTGGTAAAGAACCCTGAGGAGGGTGGCAATTTGAGGGGGAAAAATGACAAGAAATAA